TGCAGAGCTGAGACACAGAGCTCCCGGGTGCCTCCTTCTGCTGAAAGTTGAGGTAAAGGGCAGCAATCTGGTAACTGAAAAAAGGCAAGTCACCTCCAGTGTCTAAGAGAAGCTGCTGAGACACATGCCCAGTCTCCAACATTCCAACTGTTCTTTGGAATTGGAGAGGAAGTGGGACAGTCACACAGCAGGAGGGTGTGCAGCCCCAGAGCAAACAGCAATGCCCCTGTACTCACTTTTTGACAAAATCCGAATCCTCATTCCTTCAGCAACTCTGTTCTAGGGCCTGGTTTGCTGGCAATGGATCCACAGAGAGTGCAGTTCACCGTCTATGTAATAATACCAAGGGTCGGACATGGTGGCTTGCACTTGTAATTCCAACACCTTGGGAGGCCGAGGCAGGCAGATCACCTGAGGTCAGGAGTTCAAGACCAGCCTGGTTAACATGGTGAAACCCTGTCTCTACGAAAAATATAAAAATTAGCTGGGCCTGGTGGTGCATGCCTGTAGCCCCAGCTACTCAGGAGGCTGAGAGGCAGGAGAATCGCTTGAACCCAAGAGGCAGAGGTTGCAGTGAGCCGAGATCACGCCACTGCACTCCAGCCTGGGAAACAGAGTGAGATCTGTCTTAAAAACAAACAAACAAACAGAACAAAACAAAACAAAACAAAACAAGAAAGCAGAGTGCACCAAATTCAGGAGAAATCTCTTCCTGCTAAGGAAACAGGGAAGGCTTCCTGGAAGAGGAGGCATTTGAGCTGAGTCATAAGACTGGACAGACAAATGTATTAAGTGAATGGGGAGAGGCTATTCTAGAGAACAATGTGATCAGAGGCATGGAAGTGAAAAAGAGAAATTCAGTTTGACTGGAATAGGAAGCAGGAAGTGATAAGACAGGGACAAGACCACTAAGGCCTTCAATGCTAGACCAATCAAAAACCAAACCAGATCTGTCTTCCATAAGTATCTGTGCTTGTCACAATTTGAAGAAAGAGAAACTCACTCCATCAAGAAATAGACAGTCACACAAGCAGCCATGGGTGGAACCCACAGACTAATCTGCAATGGGTTGAATGTCTATGTCCCCCTAAAATTCCTATGTTAAAATCCCAACCTCTGGCCAGGCACAGTGGCTCACGCCTGTAATCCCAGCACTTTGGGAAGCCAAGGCGGGTAGATTACCTGAGGTCAGGACTTGGAGACCAGCCTGACCAACATGGAGAAATCCCATCTCTACTAAAAATACAAAAATTAGTTGGGCGTGGTGGCACATGGCTGTAATCCCAGCTACTTGGGAGGGTGAGGCAGGAGAATCACTTGAACCCGGGAGGCGGAGGTTGCGGTGAGCCAAGACCATGCCATTGCACTCCAGCCTGGGCAATAAAAGTGAAACTCCATCTCAAAAAAAAAAAAAAAAAAAAAAAAAAATTCCTAACCTCCAAGGTGATGGGATTAGGGGGTAGGGCCTTTGGGAGGTGATTCTCATGAGATGGGACCCTCAAGGAATGGGATTAGTGCCCTTATAAAGGAGATCCCAGAGAGCTCCCTTCCACCATATGAGTACCCAGGAAGCAGGCCCTTAACTGACACCTCATCTGCCAGCACCTTGATCTTGGACTTTCCAGCCTCTAAAACTGTGAGAAATACATTTCTATCGTTTATAAGCCAACCAGTGTATGGTACTTTGTTATAACAGTCCAAACAGACTAAGATGCTCATCAACTGGTTTTCCCTCACCAACAGCTTCCCTAATTCAAATGGTAATTGCTCGAGGTGGAAAACAGCCTCTCCTTAATATTTATTTTCTTTTTCCTGAAAAATAGAGCAAGTATTGAGAAACCGTTGCAGGAGTCAAAGGTCAAACATAAACTGTAAAGGAAGATCTGATACAAGCAGCCAAGAAACAAGAAAAAATGCTCAAGGGCCAGGTGTGGCGGCTCATGCCAGTAATCCCAGCCCTGTGGGAGGCTGAGGTGGGAGGATCACCAGAAGTCAGGAGCTCGAGACCAGCCTAGGCAATACAGCGAGACCTCTGTCTCTACAAAAATTTTAAAACATTAACTGGGCATGGTGGCACATGCCTGCAGTCCCAGCTACTCAGAAGCTGAGGCAGAAGGGTTGCTTGAGCTCAGGAGCTCAAGGCTGCAGTGCACTACAATTACATCACTGCACTCCAGCCTGGATGATAGAGCGAGACTCCATCTCAAAACAAAACAAACCTCCACATCATCAATGATCAAAGAAATGCAAATCAAAACCACAAAATGGCCATTACTAAAAAGTTAAAAAGTAGATGTTGGCAAGGTTATAGAGAAAAGGCAATGCTTATACACAGTTGGTGGGAGTGTAAATTAGTTCAGCCACTGTGGAAAGCAGTTTGGAGATTTCTCAAAGAACTAAAAATAGAGCTACTATTTGACCCAGCAATCCCATTACTGGATATACATGCAAAGAAAAGTAAACCTTCTACCAAAGATACCTGCACTCATGTTTATTACCACACTATTCACAATAGCAAAGACATGGAATCAACCTAGGTGCCCATCAGCAGTGGACTAAATAGAGAAAATGTGGTACATATACACCATGGAATACTACACAGCCATAAAAAAGAATGACATCATGTCCTTTGCAGCAACATAGAAACACAAGAAACAGAAAACCAAATATTGCATGTTCTCGCTTAGAAGTCGGAGCTAAACTTTGGATACACACAGACAAAAAGATGGGAACAATAGACAGTGGAGACTCCAAAAGGAGGGAAGAAGAGGAGAGGGAAAGGGCTGAAAAACTTTCTACTGGGTACTATGTTCACTGTCTGGGTGACAGGACCAATAGAAGCTCAAACTTCAGATTCACACAATATACCCTTGTAACAAACCTGCACCTCCTGAATCTAAAACTAAAATTAAAATGTAACTAACTAAACAAATAAATAAATAAAAGAGGGCCTAAACACAACTCCCATACAGATAAAATACAAACATATGCCCAAGGCTTTATTTAACTCATCAATTAATAAATGAACCAAAGAGTGGTATAATTGGGAGAATTCAAAGAACCATAGACCATCAGGAATGTTGAAATCAATTTGCTTAATAGATTGCAAAACTGGTCGGTCTCCACAGGGCAACAGTCATCAACTGCACCTCCACCGGACAGTCTGCATTGCTATAGACAAGAATCGTGTTTGTTACCATCAATATTCTACAACTTACAGAGTGCAACATAGCTCAGGCAAGGAAAGGCCCATAGACCCAGAGAATTCGATAACCAGACCACTCCTAGATTTCCACTGCAGACATTCACTAGGCTTTTTGATTCATCTCAAAGTCTTTCCCTACATACGTGAACACTGAACAATGGGTAAACCATAAACTCTCAGGCATGTGTTCCAGGGGAAATTGCAGTGAGGACTGAAGCATGAGGTTCAGAACTCAGGCATCTGCCTGGACCATGAAGGCTCAGCAGGTTAGGAGGACACTGGTTAACTATGTGCACTGGTTAACTTTATACTGAGAATTAGGATCTCTGGCTGTGAACAAGTTCTTCCCCTTCCCTTCTCCAGGAGGATCCAAAATGAGGAGCCCCAAACTAATGGTGGTCAGCCCTGACCACACCCTGGAAGAATTCGAGAAACTGTAAGAAAATACACTTGCCCCTCTTGGGTGGATGAGGTGGCTCACGCCTATAATCCCAGGACTTTGGGAGGCCGAGGAGGGTAGATCACAAGGTCAAGAGATCAAGACCATCCTGGCCAACATGTCTCTACTAAAAATAGAAAAATTAGCTGGGCGTGGTGGCGCACACCTGTAGTCCCTGCTACTCAGGAGGCTGAAGCAGGAGAATCACTTGAACCCAGGAAGCGGAGGTTGCAGTGAGCCGAGACTGCACCACTGCACTCCAGCCTGGCAACAGAGGGAGACTCCATCTCAAAAAAAACACACACACACACTTGCCCCACTCTAGGAATTCCAAGGGTGATGCCCTGGCCCCACCCTTGATTAGCAGAATCAGAGCTAAATCCTAATCTGATAGGATTAGCTAGGAATCTCGCTAATCTGATTCTGCTAATCAAGGGTGGGGCCAGGGCATCACTGGGTTTTAAAGTGTCCACAGGTGACTCTAATGAGCAGCAGGATTGCAAACCACGAGGCCAGATGGTAAGGAAGACCCCTTTGTCCCTGACACCCTGTGACTCTGCTGTAACGTTCCCTTTTAGTTGAGAGCTGCTAGCCTCAGGATAGGATTGAGAATATAAGCAGGACATTTTCTAAAAATACTCCTCAAAATTAATATTTGATAGAGACCAGAAAACAAGCACAATCCATAACTTGGTCAGACTTGGCAAGCATGCAATGTGTTAGAATCTTCCACAGGGAGCTGTTGCCATCCATTCAATCCAGACTCCTGATGGGCTGCCTGAATTATAATGCACGTACTGGAGTATAAAGATGCCCACAGGTGTGTGCTAGGTAGGCACCAGCACACGGGTGGCGTGCACACACACCTCATGCTCATACAGCAGCCTCCAAATCAAAGATGAGGTGAGGAAGTTGGTTACAGAGTAATAAAGGACCCCCCCACCTCACTCTGGGGTAGCTGACTGACTCGTCACTTTTGGTTGGCTGGCCCCACAGTGGGGGAGAGAACTGACAAACAGGGTAGACATGGCGAATCCCAGCACTTCCTCCCAAATCTTCTGAAACCTCTCCTTACATATTTCAAACCTGATGTGATTAGGGATCACTCTGAACTCGTTCAACTTATCACCAGAATCACAGGCAATCTTTGGTATTGTGTGAAGTCACCGTGCCCTGATCGGCCTCTGGTGGTGGTGAGAAACGCTGCTGTAAAAGACACTGTCTGGCTTTTCTGTGGGGCCGAGGAGGGCCATGGACCAACTGTCTCCGGAAAGATGATCTTCTCTCTCCTCCCTTTCTCGGTCCCCAAGTTCCTTCCCCATCCCCCACACACCCGACACCCACACCCACACTTACTGCAAGCTGCACAGGTAAAGCATGTGTCGTGGTAGAGGTTCCCCATGGCCTGGCAGGCCTGGCCAGCCCCAAACACCCCTTTGCTGCATTTCACACAGGCTCCTGCAAGGACAAGAGAAACATCAGTGAGTCAGGAGGGAACCAGTGTAAACTGAGTCATAAAAAAGCCAATGAACAAAGCATCATACCATCCCTCCCCGTGGCCAGCCCACCACCAAATCCAGTGGATGACTCATTTGAAGTGTCTTTCCCTCCCTCTCCCTCTGTCACTCTTTTAACTGCAGAAAACAGCTACCAGGCTGGACTTCCGTCCCACTTTCCCGGCTCCACTGTTATGCTAATGTTCAGAATACCTGGGCTTGGTCAACTCCCTCCCTCACCTGACCCAAAGCTTTCGAAGGTTCCCACTGTTTATAAGACAGTTCACAAAGATCGCACCATCACTATAATACGCCAAGCATGCAGGCTGGGCAATTTCTTTTCTTCTTCTTCTTCTTTTGAGACAGGGGTTCTCGGTATGTTGCCCAGACTGGCCTCGAACTCCTAGGCTAAAGCGCTCCTCCCGCCTCAGCCTCCCAAAGTGCTAGGATTACAGGTGTGAGCCACCATGCGTGGCCAGACAATTCTAACTAAATTATTTCCTTTATTTTTCAGTGGGAACCACCAACTAGGATTTAGTAACTTCAAGTTTTACAAGAAGTATATAACACCCCAAGCCCCGGGTTTGTCACACTGCAAGCAAGTGCTCTTCCCCGCCCTTCCACCAGCAGCTCCTCACCCCCTAACAAGTCCCACAGGGTCTTAGCCCAGCCTTTGCTGATGAGCCCCTACCTAGTACATTCTACTCCTGCCCTTCTGTTCACTCAAGTCCTGAGGCTTTCATCTCAGCCTGCTCCACGATTCCTTCCTCAGCCTCTTCAGCTCTCTGACTCTGGGGGCAACATGATGAATCAGAAATTTAAAGAGCCAGCCAGGTGTGGTGGCTCATGCCTATAATCCCAGTGCTTTGGGAGACCAGAGCAGGAGGACTGCTTGAGGCCAGGAGTTCAACACCAGCCTGGGCAACATAGGGAGATCATCCATCGAAAAGAAGGGAAGGGGAAGGGGAAGGGGGAAGGGGAAGGGGAGGAAAGGGAAAGGGGAAGGGGAAGAGGAAGGGTGGAAGGGGAAGGGGGGAAGGGGGGGAAGGGAATTTTTTTTGAGACAGAGTCTCACTCTGTCACCCAGGCTGGAGTGCAGTGGTACAATCTCAGCTCACTGCAACCTCCACCTCCCGGGTTCGATTCTCCTACCTCGGCCTTCCAAGCAGCTGAGACTACAGGCGCGCACAACCAAGCCCAGCTAATTTCTGTATTTTCTTTCTTTTTTTTTTTTTTTTTGAGATGGAGATTCGCTCTGTCGCCTAGGACGGAGTGCAGTGGCGCGATCTCGGCTCACTGCAAGCTCCGCCTCCCGGGTTCATACCACTCTCCTGCCTCAGTCTCCCGAGTAGCTGGGACTACAGGTGCCCGCCACCATGCCCGGCTAATTTGTTTGTATTTTCAGTAGAGACGGGGTTTCACCATGCTAGCCAGGATGGTCTCAATCTCTTGACCTGGTGATCCGCCTACCTCGGCCTCCCAAAGTGCTGGGACTACAGGCGTGAGCCACCGCGCCTGGCCAATTTTTGTATTTTCAGTAGAGACGGGGTTTCACCATGTTGGCCAGGCTGGTCTCTAACTACTGACCTCAGGTGATCCGCCTGCCTCAGCCTCCCAAAGTGCTGGGATGACAGGCATAAGCTACCACGCCTGGCCTGAAAAAACAAATTTAAAGAGCCAGGTTCTGAGCTTGAGCCTCCCACCTACCTGTGACTCCTGTAGTTTAGGTTAATGGTGATCAGCTCTCTGGGTGTCCATTTCTTAATTAGGAAATAGAGGTTCATTCCATCTGCCCTGCACGTTCCCAGGAGCAGCAATTAAAAGGGTTGCTTTGCAAACCAAAAAGTTCTAAAGAGTTAACCTGCCTCAACTACAAAGTGCTTATTGGGACACCTGGTCTAGAACAGCTCCACAATTTACCAGCTATGTGACGAGGGCAGACTAATTAAACTCCGACGTTGGGCTAGAAAATGGGGACAACAGTGGCCCCCTCGTAGGGTTACTGTGAGAGAATATGTGCAAAGTACTTAGTGCAGGGCCCCATACTTGGGAAATGCTCAATTAACAGGCAAATCATAAGGATGACAATCATGTTACTGCCTCCTGCGAAAAGTGCCTTCAGCTTAAAAAGAGCTGTCTAAGAAGTTCTGGGCCTCTCAGGATCTCACAAGGGCTCTGTGAATAGGCTGGAGGTTTCTCAGGCTAGGCCAGCCCAGAACCCCTACAGCAGCAGCCCAGGCTCCGGCCAGTCCACATCAAGGAGGCCCTGGAGTCTCCCTTCCAAAGAACTCCTCCATTACAGTCAAATGAAAGACAGCACAATTATGTAAACAACGCACAAGATGAAAAAAGATTCACGGAGGAATATATTAAAATATAAACAGTGGTTGTTTTACATTATAAAACTGTAGCTGGCCTTATTTCTTTATATTTCCTGTAGTTTTTTATAAGACAGCAGGCATTACTTTACAGATTTTAAAAGGTCATCTCAAAAAAGTGTTTGAATATGTTCAGGTATACTATATAATGTTAAAATTTTTGAAAAATCTACTTTACAGATTTTATAAATATAAATTGCTCCCCTAGCACCCAGCAAAGTAGCCAGCTGGCATCCTTTGGTCCGGAGGAGCTCATGCATCCTTTTCTAATTCTGGCTCTCACCTGTCAGGCTATTCTCAGGCTGCAAATCCCCAGCCTTCTGCCCACAGGGTAGAAAGCCCTGTGTTTCAGAGTTCGTATCATTTTAAATTGATAAACTGCATCACCATCAAAGGAAGTCCAAGCTAACACATCCTTCATGAAATCCCCCCACACCAACAGGTTTAAGGAGAAAGCCCCTCTGCCAACGCCAGGAAGCAGGGTGAGGCAGTGTGTAGGAAACAGACAAGAAATTGACCATTGGAGAAATTCATTTATAGAAAGCTCAAGAGGGCACAAGTATTGGTTATCTGCAGTTCTTCTTCTGTTTCAATATTTTATTATAAAAATTTTCAAACATACAGAAAAGTTGAAAGAATTATACAGAGAATAACCATATACTCACCATCCCAATTCTGTAATTAATGTTTTGCTATCCATTCCTCAATCAATCCAACAATCCATCCCATTCTTGATGCATTTCAAAGTTGCAGGCAGCAACTTCACCCCCAAACACTTCAGCCTCCCCATCATTAACTAGAGTTCATTATTTTATTTGCTTAGGCTTATTTTTTCCAGGTAAAATTCACAAACAAACATGAAAAGCATAAGTCTACCATTCAATGAGTTTTGAGAAATGATCTATGTAAAGCAAACCCAAATCAAGATATAGAATATTTCCAACACCCCCAAAAGGTTCCTGCATGCCTCCTCCCTTCCATCTTCTCTTTAATGGCTATGAAATGCATGCGTGTGTGCCTGTGGAGGGGGAAGTGGCAGGGGGATGAGATTACTGCACAGCTGGCATTTCTGTACCTTGCAAGGAGCAAAGTCAATAGGGAGCCCCCACCACTATGAAACTGAAAGCATCAAGTAATTCAGAGGCATCAGCATTGCTTTCTGTCTAATGATTTTTATATACAACTTAGGTACCTTATCCTCTCAAGGTAGAAAATACAGTTCTGGGCAAACTGCATTCTTTTGCTGGTACACATGGAGCTGTGGGGCCCACCTGGCAGCAAAGCATAAACACAACAGGGTTCAGGCATTACCACTCATTTTTAAGGCTCCTTTAAGCAGGCTCGTCACTCTGGAAAGCAGTGGTGTTCATGGCTGCTGCTAGGGGCCCGTGGACAGTGGCCACTGGACCAGGCCAGGCCAAATGGGGCCTCTAGTATTTGGGAGGGGGCAAACGTGGAAGTGATGGTGGTGGCATCCACTGGGCACAGCACCTACCATGCTGTGGCGAGCTGCTAGTTACTTGGGCATTTGTCTGCCTCTCCTAGTGACTTGCAATTGCCTTCAGAGTAAGGGCCACATCTTAATTGTGGCCTCCGTAAGTGCTCAAGGAAACAAGTGTGAGTTGAATCACATTCCACATAGCTCCCTGCACAGTCCTTTCCTCTTTCCTCCTTACCTGGCACCCACTTCCTTGTATCTTGGGCACATGTGTCTATTCCCCCACAAGCACTTCATACCAAGGCCCAGGGTCTTATTCATCTCTGAACACCCCCAGCCACAGACAAAGTGCACTTAGTATCCCCTCAGCAGACCTTAACACAGAGAAATGGATTCTATGGATATCTACTGGGAACTGGCTATGACATAATTCAAATGTGATGATGGGGGAGAAATCTTTCTGAAAAACGCTGAATATCAGGCCATGGCAAAATGTCAAAGTATGAGTTGTTTGGTAGTGCCGAGGTCCACTTCCAGATTACCCACTGTAAGTCCCCCAGTGGAACTGACTCTAAGCCTTTACATTGAGCAAGAAAAGCTAGTTTGTCAGGCATCAACCAAAGCAGGCTACAACTCGATGTCAGGCATCAACTCGAAGCAGGCTACATGTAATGTTAAAGCAGTGCACTCGTGAATACAATTCTGCTCACAAACATGGTGTAAAACCACTCCCAAATGCTGTGGCCTCTTTGTTTAACCCCCTGTAAAACGGTGGCTACAAAGAGCAGAGGGCACAGGGACTCAGCAGCTTAGCATGGCATGCCCACGCTTTCCACCACCCACATTATGAGCACATGAAGAGGACCGTCCTACGAGACAGCTCACCAAAAAGGAAAGGTGAAATGAATTGCACGTGTCAGTGCAATGCTGCTGGCCCAGACTGCAGAAGCGAATGCATCTTATTAGGGTTTGGGGAATGAAATCCAGCACCCTCTCCTACCCCCGTTCATAAGATGCTGGCAGGATGGTCAGCGTCTTCGCATGGATGCTCTGACAACAGCCAGGGCCTCCCTGGACTTCCTGCCACTTTATCTCTCAATGGCAGGGCTTCCTCCCCTCTCCCCGCACCCTGCTCGGCTACACTCT